ATACTATACGTATACTGCTCTATATTAAGTTAAAGTTAACAGAATGACTACACTATACAACTGTTCACAACTTACTTTGTTTATCCAATTTTTACTTTTTGGATGATCTTGTTAAATTCCTTTAGGTCAGTGTTTTGCACTGACCTAAGTATTTCCTGTTATTTTACCCATTGGGAGATTCTCCCCGCCCCCCCCCCCCCCCCCCCCATATCCTATGTCATTTTTGAGGCAGGAGGAGGCTAAGAATGCCTAGCAGGTTTTTATTGCTGTTATGAGAAGATCCCCACATTTTTTGTTTGATCACCTGGACAAGAAGTGAATGAAATATCCCCAACAGGAACACAGGTGGCAGTGAAAACCTCACAGAATATATTACACCTCCTCGCTCCAAACGCAACCAAAAAAATGCTGGCAGTGTTGTAGTTTGTACAATCACCCGCCCGTTCCTTTTATGTGATAGCTTAGCAATTGTGTAAATTAAGAGACAAGAATAAAGGCATCTAAAAATTTTTAAAAAATATTCATATACTAGTACTCTTATTACATGTGTTAACCATGTGCATTTATCAGAGTGCAATATATATTTCAATAGAGTCCTTTTAAAGAGACATGATTAAGCCTGCGGAACCAGTAGGTATATCATTAGCTGCTCAAATAATGAAGCACTGTACCAATTGACACATCTCAACACTTTAAACATCGCTCAGTGTTTTAATTACTTGACTTTACAGAGGGCATTTAAAAATATCCCCTTGTGTTTAATTAACATATGTCTTCACAATTGTTTGTGTCAAAACGAAGTCAATACGTTGGCTATTCTCAATAGGATTAGATGGTGGTCCTTTAGACATGGAATTAATTGCTTATCTTCTACATTATGTGTCAATGTCTTTTAAATTTAGCCTTTCATCCCAGTAGCATAACTTGGATGTGCCTCATCTTCATTTGATTTTGCCACTGGAAACAAGGGGATGCCTTTTTCCCAAGCTTTTCTAATAATAACTGTCATTATGAAAATATATAAAATATATATATATTTCTGAGGTGTAAACCAAGGAGTAGATTTATTGACTGAAAAACCTTGTCACATGGATTCCCCCACCTTCTGATTCACAACGGTGGAAGCTGTAACTTATAGTATTAATATGTAGTATTAATTGCATGTAGCTTTTACAGCTGTAAACTGTAATGATTCATGTGTACTTCAGTATCGGCAGAACTAACATGATTCTGTTTCAGGGTTAACTGGACTTGCAGTGACCAACTGCCACAGTACACAGACACTTGAGTTGCCCACTCAACATAAAGCAGTAGGACATGTTATATTTCTGCTGCTGATTACACATGCCCTTAAATGCGGACAAGAGCACCTACTTCTGGGTTTGGTGAATGTGGATGACACTGACTTCCAATAGTGACTTTAATTTCTGCCAGAAAGAATACCTACCTATATTGGGCTACCCAACACTTTAAATTCAAGTCACATTTTTTTTACAAATGTACTATCAAACATCTGAACAAAAAAAATTAAACTGCCATGTCTATTAGAGTGAATAAACTAACATTACTGGTAAAGTGCAGGCATGTTGTATTGCCTGAAAGTAGTTGTGCTTGACTTCAAGTCAGTTCTGCCCAAGAAACCTAGATCCTGGCTGTATACAGGGCCTTGACTTCTCTTGAAGTCGAGGTTGAGACCAGCTTCAAGTTAAACATTGTCCCTGATCTTTCATCTGTCAAATGCTAGAGCCTATATTTGCCACAGGGGATGACACTTGAAAACCTAATGACAAAGGGTAGGGATTAGGGTCAGGAGATGACAGGGCTTCATCTTGACTTGGAGAGACACGGTTCTACTTTTTGCCAGGACCTAGGTTCCATTGTCCTGGCCAGGCAGAAAGAATCTCATCTGAGCACACATGTAAGTACTTGGCATCTGCATTTTTCTGGCAATTTTAGCTTATACAGTTTAGTGGAAACTGTATTTAGCCATATAAATGTAAATATCTAGGCTAAGAATACCAAATTGTTTTTTTTGTGGGTTTTTTTTAGCCCTTTGCAGCTTTTTACACCTTTTTTTGTGGCCCTTAACTTTTTTAAGAATCTAAATTGGAAAAAAACTCAAATTCTACATTTACTCATATTCTGTTATGATGATTTCCTTACATAATTGAATTCTCCTGGAAAGTGTTTGTTAACATTTTGTAAGCTATTTACAAATGCAGTAAATAATGTAGTTCTTTTATTTTACATTTTTTTATGAGTATGTTAATCCTGAAGTGTTTTAATACACTTAGGTAAGGACAACCTGCAGTAGAACAAATGTAGCTTTACAGTGTGATTCTACCTAGTTTATGAGTTTAACATGCCAGGCATATCTTGATATTGTGGTTTCTATTTTATTTTACAGTGGTGATATGAACAGGAAATAGTGCATGTTGGGAAAACAGAAATCTCTAGTCATCTGTTACACGATACAGTTCATTCTAACAGTTATAACGATGCCATATTTGTAGAACTTGCAGATGCTTATCATAAACAGTTGCTGTTGGACTTGGTGAACGGGGATCTATCACATTTCAATAACTACTTTCGAGAAATAATTGTTAACATTTTACAAATGTACCTGTATTTTGTTTAAACATTAATGTATACTTTTATACTCCTTAATGTCTTACTAAAACGTCATGTATTATGATGTATTGTACCTAAATATTTTTCTCTACATAAAGTATATGACTCTTCTCTCAGTCAACTGTGTTTTACTTTTCTCTCTCTCTCTCTTCTGCTCCTCCCCATTTGATGCAGAAGTACCGTGCACCCAGGTGGTTGGCTGGGTGATGACACACTCCTTGAGGGTGTATTCATGATAGCCTGGGCTCAAAGGAAGTAGGGTTAAGTGACGCTGGCTGTCATTCAACCCGAAAAAGCAGTACCATCGTGGGGAAAAGGGAACGGTGTGTGTGTGTGTGTGGAGGGGGGTGGGGGAGGGGGTAGCATCGAAGGTGAGTATTTTAGCAAAATATTGATTTGTGTAATGTTTAAAATCATTGTATTATTAGTGTACAGAATGGTTAAAACCCTGTCTGTTTTCAATTTTTTTTTTGAGTCCTGTAGGAAAGTTGTCTCTTTATGTGCTGTCCCAGAGACAAACCCGCAAGAAGAATTCTTATGTTAAGGGAAATCCCATCTTTGACATTTGTTCCAATCAAAATGTGTTCCCTTTACTCCTCAAGAAGATGGTGGCAGGTTACATGGCTTGTACTGGTCCTATAGTGTATGTTTGTGTGTGTGACAGTGGTAAGAACATTAGATTGTAAGCTTTAAGGACAAGGGCTTGCAATAATGTTTCTACATTCCTTGTAAGGCTGTGCAGAAAAATGTCAGGCAGTTATAGACAACCAATTTCTTTTCTTCCACTTTGTGTAAATCAGTCTCCTTTCTTCTGATAAAATTGCGCTGATTTAACAGGAACTTGACTGTACACATAAACTATGCTGGTAACCTTGGCTCTCTTTCTCATCATATTTTATTAATGTACTGAATCCCTTATTAATCTCAAGAGTGTGCAGTCTATCAATACAGACAATACATGCTACTTTTCCATTTTCCCAGATGTTTTTTCTGCGTTCACACCTGCTTTATTTTCAATCTAAGACTTGTCCGAAACGAAAACCAGGATTTTATCCAGAGAGTTCTGTTATCTTCAGTATGTATGTTTAGTGGTGTCCATGGGTTGTACTAGCATCACATCTAATCATTTGAAATGGTGAAGAAAATACAATTCAGCAAATCCCGAGAGGCTTCACTAGTCTTCTGTCCTAAACTCCATACCCTTTCTATACCTTAGCACTTAATCCTTTTGTACTCATCTGAGATTTCATCGTTTGTATTTAATGCTTGTGAAAATAATTATTCCACTGTCTCTTAATGAGAGTACCATGAACAGGACTTACATCTACAATTACCAACAAGTTGAATAGGTGCCATGCATCGTTTTTAGGTTTCATATGGAGTCATATCTTATCAGAGTCACCTAATAGATTTCACAAGTACAGACATGGTAGATGTTAATGTATAACAAGGTTCCCTGTTGGTTTTGAAAAGACACAGTATTAAACTTTCTTATTTAAGGGAAGGTTTCCAGGAAAAGAAGAAATCTTATATTTTCGTGGGTTTTCTCAGGCCAGACAGTTGCAATTCCACATTTTATCAGAAGTGATTAGCAGATTGGTTTGAAATTGAAGCAGATCAGCACATTTTACATTTTTAACTCCCCTAAGTAAGTGAATAAAGATATGCTCAGTTCACCGATAATTTTACATAGTGAAGGGTTAGAACCTTTGACATTCACCTCTATCTGCCCTGGTGACCATTTTTGAAGACCAAAAGGGAAGGTACATTTAAGATCTTAAGCTATTTATGGTTCGGGAATGAAGGGGAAATATCTTCTAATGGGAATACTTGTTCCAGTGATATTTCTCTAAGAGGATTTCCTCATATCCTGTTGTGTTTAGGGAAAGTGAAGGGAAATTTTCCCAATTGAACACAGAAGACAAAACGCCTAGTAGTACTGGTTTTTCCATTCCAATTTTTTTCCAATTTGATTTCATTTTAGTTAACTGTATAAACCACATAAATTGGCAACACTCCTGATTCAATTATCACTATTCATCAACACTGCAACTGCTGGTAGACTTTGGCATTGTAGCATAGTACAATAACCACTGAAATGTATGGGACAGTCCTGTAATTAATTGGAAGGATCCTAGTCCACCATTGTTTTAAAAAAAAACAAATATTCAGACCCTCATTGGCAGGCTATAGCAATGCCCCAGTCCTTTTTATTGAAAATTCACTTTAAAAGTGATCTCTAGAAAACTCAACATCATTCAAATGCAAGGTGCTAAAATAAATGAATGAATAATAGCTGTGTGGTTGTCTTCCTATATAAACATAATCTACATTTCTTACAGTAAACATATTTGAATATTTATTTTTAGATACGAGGAGGGAAACTAATGATCACCTACACAAGAAAAACGGATGCAGGAAAATATGTTTGTGTTGGTACCAATATGGTGGGAGAAAGAGATAGTGAAGTAGCAGAACTAACAGTTCTAGGTAAGTTAACATGCATTCTAATGTTCATTGTTCACTCCCCTTACCTCCCTTGTGTAAAAAGTGTCTAAAGTGCACCACCCTGCAACTGCATTTCATGAACAATGGAGAGATGTGATTTCTGCCAAATAACAAGTGGACTCTGGTTGGTTAACGTGGAGAACACTCTCTCTTTCCTTTGCTTTGGGTTTTATTTTGAGCCTCATTTGAGGGTCTGTTCACACATTCAGCAGTGACTGCATTTTTTTCTTACTAGATCAATGCCAGTCATTGCTAAGGTAGGTAGAAAACATTTGTTCTCTATGTGCCTTGTTCATGCCATAACACGTGCAGTGTGGTGGGATGCAGTAAAATGTGGACACACCATATTTTTTGCATATTGTGCTGGATGTCACCACTGTGCAATGTAAAGCTCTGCTCTGCAAAGACATGAATAGAACGTTCACTTTGTACACTCAAATTTAAGGGAAAAAATACATTGCATTGTACCAACACAATAAACCCCAGGTTACCGCTGCCCCATAGCAGACACTAGCCACACGACAAAGCTGTGTGGCCCGTGTGAACAAGCACTAAAGCTCTACTTCAAATGTTGGTTCAAAATCATAATAAAAAACGATGTAGCCTGTAAATTGTCTCTATGGGAAAACAGAGAACAGATACCGTATGCGGTATCCACAGAACATTGCAGTGAATACTCCACACCTTACCTGCATTTTATGTTTTATTCTTGCTGCTTCCATTTGCTACTTTATACATTAAATAAGATGACTTCTCCTAGTTGATTGTTGACTGGTAATTTGTAAAGTAAATGGTCCATAAACAAGTTAACAATGGTCTACACTTTTATCAGTAAAGAGCTGGCTTGAAATATTTTTTCTTTCCTACTATGTGATGTTGTGCCCCCTGTTCTCTTTGCTCTGTGGAAAGCTGCTGACAGTGTCACTAAAGTCAAATGGAAAAGTGTGGAAATGAGTCCACAGAAGTCTTACTACTAAAGTCCCTGATAGTTATAAAAAGCTGTTGCATAATTCAACCTGTCAGCACCTACTTAGAGAACTAAACATCAGTTTTCGATGGACTAACCTTTAAACTGAGACATTCATTCATTTTTTTCACTTTTAACATTTTCACCCACAGACTTATAGCTACAAAGGTTGATGGTTTTCAAAATAAACTGCAGATAAACTCAAACTATCAACAGCAGATAAACACAGCATTAGCCTTTTTTTTATAAGAAATCTTCCTTTAATCTGATTGGTTTACATTGCATTATAGCGCCACAAAAAGAAAAAGTCCCACGGGATGAAATGCTTTTGTTGAAACAGGTGCTGTTTGTTATTTTTGGCTGTAATAAATGAGAAAGAACATTTTAGTGATTGCCTGTCATTATAATTATATCTTGTGAAGAAGAGTATTAAAGAGTACTAATCCTGGAAAGAAAGTAATCATCATTTTTCACATTCTCTGCGTGGTGAGAATAAACGTAGATAGCTAGGATTGCAATTATATATTTAAAAATAAATGGGAGCAGGGATACTGCTTTTCTGATTTGTTGGTGTTCTCTGATATCTATATTTATCAGAAAGTTTTACAGATAATGCAGTCAGGGCAGGAAAATGTTTATCGTAAGGAGATGAATTCTGCGCTGGGCATGTTTGTTGGTTTCATACTATCACTCACTAACTGAGCCCTGTTCAGTATTTTTTTTTTTCTGTGTGCAGGAGGGTAAGCAATTCAAGGATAACATCTTTGTTATTGCATATGTTTATGAGAATTAAGCAGCAGAGGCATCTCACTTATCATAATGTTATCTTTCACACTCCAATAGTAAATCAGTATTGCTGGTCTATGAGTGATTTTATTACCAAACCTTGGCTGTAAGGCTTCCTCTGCACTTATGAGGTTGGTTGGATATGTCATGACCTGGCTGCTGTCAGGCTTAATACACAACACAAAAAGCTTGCAATTCTATGCAGTGCTGATGGACTAGGTTGGGGGAACTGTGGGATGATAGATTATCTCCCAGTTTATTGATGGGGGAACAATAGCGATCAGGCAAATTTTTCTAACTTGTCTGGCCAATTGTAACTTCCACAGAACGGTCAGATAGAGCTCTTTGAGGGTGCCACAGACATATTGTAATTTGTCCTGCTAAATACACCCATACATGTGTACACTGATGCATCTACTTTATTCCATAAACACCCCAAGGTGTACATTGCAAAGTTTTACTATTAACACTATTGCACTGCTTGCAACGCAGCATGGTACATTCTGGAATTCTCCTTTAATGCATAGTTTTATTTTGAATAAAGTGAGCTCTATAGGAAGCAGGTAGACTGGAGCAACTGCAGAACAGGTGGCTCTCCTGTAGCTGAAATAAAATATCAAGCTCGGTATCTTAATCCAGTGTCAGGGCTCTGACTCCTGAGAATTAATTAGAAAAAGATAGCACATGACCTGAACTTTAGGAGACTGTCCCTGGAACAAACCGTGGGATAGTAGATGCCCTCTCTAATTACATTTTTCCAGGAAAAAAAAAAGAATATAGCACACAAATGCATGTGCTGCTAATTAAACACTAATATCTAAAGCTGCCTGTAGATATTAAACAGCAGTAGGATATTAATGCAGTAGAGGCTTTACAACCCAAGAAAATAACCCAGCCACTGCCCACTGTCACCAAAATTGAATGCAAATTGGTACTTTTAGCTGTAATATTAGACATGCAGGGCCCACTCTTTAGATGGAATGAAAAGTTTATCAAATATACATTATCCAAATAGTCACTGACCCTACATCAGCCATTTTAAATAATGGTTCCTTATTTCTGATCAATCGCTATATTTTCAAACACTTCTATATTTCAGTGACATACATCTTTACGCATGCAGAAAACAAGTGTGAATTGTGGCTAGCGCTTCACAGGAGTGCATTCTTTTGCTCATTCATTACCTAGCCGTGACAATTAATACAAATGATGGCCAGATGTATGTCTTGGTCAGGAATGAATGTGTGTGAGGAAAGAACTGGCTCAAATAGCCTTTTACCTCCCAGCCACCAGTCAGGTTTCCCCTTTCAACATACTATAAAGTGAGGATCTGATTGGATGCTGCAGATAAACAAAGACTTTCTGGGACAATTCCTCACTCAAGCACTTTTAGAAATAAGGTGCAGGGTGAATTATTTTCCAATTTTTTTTACAATGCAAGATTCGTTTACCTACACATCCATTTATGCTTTATGACTTTGCTTTGCCCAATCAATAAGTATGATTGGATCTCCAAGTAAATAAACCCCTTGAGAAGGTTAGGTGAGTACATTTCTGACTTACCAATGTACTCCCTGTTGACAATAGAATTGACTTTTTTTTACAAACACCAAGTCACAGTGCACAGAGATGGGATTTTAACAAATATTTGACTGCATGACAGAAGCTTTTCAGAAAGAGTCGGGGAGTGACAATGTCTTTGTGTAGATCACATTTTTTTAAGCTACCAATATATCACAGGTTGATTTAAATTTCAAAAAATGTTTTTCATATTTTACTTTGCAGTGCAATTTTTGTTAAAATTAGTTATTTTCTAGCATAATACAACATATAACTCAGTTTGGCACCTTTTCTGGGCTGAAAATTAACTTTCATAAAAGTGAACTTTTAATGCTGCCCCACAGTGCCCCCCTTGACACGTCAACATGGCCCTTGGACTGTACCATCAAGATTCAGAAACACTCGGTTACATACTTAGGCATTCACATATCCGGTAATGCAACGGAGTTGTACCGCCTTAACTATGAACCCTTTTTTTATGACAAATCTGAATAAAAAACTACATGCTTAAAAAAAAAAAAAATAGTTATTTTGAAAAATGAAAGTATGCTGCAATTTGAGCACATTCTTATTATTGACCTGGCAGCAGAGAGCTGGGGACAGGGAGAGTATCATGCAAGTTACTAAAGGTGTTACTCTAGTGTATTATAGGTGAACAAAATAACAGCATAGCCTATTAACATGCACATACTTGTGTTGCTTTGTAGAAAGACCGTCCTTCGAGAAAAGGCCAAGTAACATGGCGGTCACTGTGGACGATAGCGTTGAGTTTGAGTGTGAAGCAAGAGGTGATCCTGTACCTACTGTTCGATGGAGAAAAGATGATGGGGATCTACCTAAAGCCAGGTACTGTCTTTATCATTTGAAATAGTTTGTAAACTTTGTAAAAAAAGTATCCATTATCTACTTTGTTGTATTATGCCTGAACACAATATTGAAATATCAATTGTGCTAAATAGAAAACATTTGGATTTCGCTCTTTGACATGAGTGTCTGTAAACAACTGTCTACATTCATCCACAAAGGAATATGAAATATTCATATAAATACAACTTTCCGCTGTGTATACAAACCCCACAGGTCAATGTGCAGGTTGACCACTTTTCATTTGCTGGAAAGGATATTTACTGTACAATATAAGCCTATATATGCAAAGAGACACAATAGAGGTATTACATGTAGCAATAATGTACATTTATTATTTATTCCTTTCTTTGCATATTAGAGCTGCCAGAAAAATGTAAAACATTGAACAGTTACTTTTAGTTTGCTTTCCAACAAATATCACCTCTCTATTTTTTGAAGGTATGAAATTCAGGATGATCATACGCTTAGAATCCGCAAGGTGACAGCATCAGATATGGGATCATACACTTGTATTGCTGAAAACATGGTTGGCAAGACAGAAGCGTCAGCTGTATTAACAGTTCAAGGTATGGCTTGTTATTTTATATGTGTTAAATGAGGAACATTTCACATTGCAGTATTACAAAACAAGCGCAATTATTCTTTTAATCATGCAAGCTGTGAATATCTTGAGATGCCAATATATATAATTTTGTGACTACTTTTTGTTTTTTTAGATGGTTTTGAATTAATTCCAGTGATAAATGTATTACATTTTTCTTTTTGTGACACTGTACCTTTTTGCTTCAGTTGGTAGGTTTTGTATGTACTTTAAGCACAGGTCCTTTTTTGAAATATGGCAAAGAGACTTTTTCTGTGGTGCAAGTATTTTTTACCCACAGCTATCCCCAAAGAAGAAAAAATAAAATACAACAAATACAACATAACACATATGTTGTAGCTATAAACAAAGTAGTTGAAATGTAACTTAATGCACTTAGTTACAATTTATATAAAAATGTGCAAGCTAAGATTTCAAGGTGCTCTTTGCCCTGACTATGCACATTAAAGTGTTTACATATTTTTTTTTACGAACCATGAGTGCGCTTTAAAATAAGCACAATTAATTAAATTAAATGCTTTAAATTAAGCCCTCACTGACCTCTGTATCTGCCTGCATTGTGGAACAATTCATCCTTGAAGATCACAAAAGAGACAATGAAGTTGGGTTTTAATCCATTTCAAACAGCTTATATCAGCTGCTGTTTATTTACATTAGAAGGGCGGCAGGATACCAGTTCACTGCTGTCAGAAAAAGTAAGGATAGATGAGCTGCAATTTCAGTGCTTTTGTTTTGCATGTTGAACTCTGAGGATGAATTTCTCCACATTCCTTGCAGCTAAAGAGGTCAGTGAAGGCTTTAAAGGTTTTTTTGTTTTTTTAACTGCTTGCTGCAAATAAGCAAATAATTGAATACCTATTTTCTGGGCGCAGGTGCACTTCAAGGACAATATTGCATAATTGCTCACATTTGTAGGATGATGTTTGCTTATACTGTGCAGCCTTAATGCCGCACATACCATAACCTAATTAAAGCATATTGTGATTCTCCTATATTTATATTTGCGGAAAGAATTATATCTACCCCCCATTGGCTCACCCCTTCCTCACGTGCTAAATATTACTGGACACTGTAACCAAACCACAGCCAATCACATGTTCTTTCTTATGAGAAGACACCCCTCTGTATTACACAAAGGTTCTCTTCTACTTGAGCCTGTGTTTGACTGCAGCTTCAGAGATCTCAGTATTTCTCAGCTGAAAAGGTCAGGTGCCACCCTTAAGGTACAAAATCAAGTAACAAAATCAGCTTTTATTGCCTTTGTTTTTGGTACAGTGCTAGTTTCTGAAAATCCTGTTTAAAGAATAATTTATTGTGAAGGGCTGTTTGAGCCATGCAGCATTAGTAGACTATTGTACTGTGTTAAGCTGGCCATGCAGTGGTTGTTTTTTCTTGTTCAGTTCGTGGACTGGCACTTGAATCCTTCCCACTAGGGTATTGTATTCTGACCTTGGTGGGTGCGCCCCTGTCAAAAAACCTGGGCAGTGACTGCAGCTGATTGGCTGCAGGTACTGTTTGGCCAAGATTTTTCAAACTGGCTTTTCCATCAAAGATTGATTGAAAAATAGATTTTTGACGAAGGTAGGGGTGCTGACGGAAACACACACTGCTCAAATTTTTGAGTAGTGTATAGGCAACTTTAGACATTTATTACTTGGCCCCTTAGTTCCAGTGAAGGGAACTCTTAAGGCATCAGCATACCAAGACATTTTGGACAATTTCATGCTCCCAACTTTGTGGGAATAGTTTGGGGATGGCCCCTTCCTGTTCCAACATGACTGCGCAACAGTGCACAAAGCAAGGTCCATAAAGACATGGATGAGCAAGTTTGGGGTGGAGGAACTTGACTGGCCTTCACAGAGTCCTGACCTCAACCCGATAGAACATCTTTGGGGTGAATTAGAGCGGAGACTGCGAGCCAGGCCTTCTCGTCCAACATAAGTACCTGACCTCACAAATGTGATTCTAGAAGAATGGTCAAACATTCCCATAGACAAACATTCCCTAAACCTTGTGGACACCTTCCAAAAAGAGTTGAAGCTGTTATAGCTGCAAAGGGTGGGCCAACTCAATATTGAACCCTACGGACTAAGACTGAGATGCCATTAAAGTTCATGTGCGTGTAAAAGCAGGCGTCCCGATACTTTTGGCAACAAAGTGTATGTATATATATAATATATATGCAACAAGATTGCAGATACATTGGTATGAAGTTAGCATCTGATAAGTACATTTAGAATAAGTATCTGCTGTATTCTAGCTCTGGCACAGCAATGTCACTCTACTATTCAGACTTCTTTGCTGGTCTGCAAAGATTTAATGCCATGATTTATGTATACGTACCTGAAGATCTTCTAGAAGAATCCTGGAAGCTGGGATTATTGGCGTTAACATAATGTGCTCTTTTTAAGCACCAACACAGTAAATATGGATAATAATCTTTCTGTGGGAATAGGACATCTGTGTATTTGCAGGGAGTAGATTATTTGTCCTGGACTTCCGACTGTAATCTATAGTTTTTCTTCAAAGGAGGTTAAGAGCAGTGTATCTTTGAGGTTTAGTGTTTAGTAGGATTTAAACTTTCATCACTTGAACAGTGTTTACTTTTCATATTGATCCCCCATGATAAAAGAGCCATGAAAAGAAGTACACTCTTGACCTGGATATACACAGCCTTCACATGTCGCTGCTACCAGTGTTCTCTGCATTCAGTCTGCTGGAGTCTCAGAAGCAATGTAAACTGTGTTTTTTTGGTATCTTCTGTCTATAGACAGTGTACAGTATAATTCTTTGCCGCAGTGCATAGTATGAAGCTGCATATTTAAGATTAGAAAATATAATTGCAGTGACCTCTGTTTTTTTTTTTCACCCTTAAATCACATTCTTATTTTTTCTCAACTATTTTATTAGGCTTACCATTGACCTTTGAGGGCAGTCAGATTTACACACATGACCAATCCCTTCTCAGGTACCAGAAATGGGCTCATGTTTTATGCATTTAAACACCCTGTCCTGCCCAGCAGCTGAGCATTGGCTTCCAGGGCAACTATTCCTGGCAGGAACATAGAAATCAGAAGAGGTTTTAACTCTTCCTGATTAACAGTTTCCCAAGTAGAGGCCTGCAGAGGAACCGGGGGTGGGGGGGGGAGGGGTTAAGGGACTTCTATAGACAAGGTTGTCACCGATTTACCAGGGCTCAAGAGGAAGCAGTGAATAGTGGTGGTGCAACATAATCTAGAATTAACCAATGTATCAGAACCCTACAGGTTCATAGATAATTAAGCCCAGGTGGTGAAACGCATGAGAGGCGTTTGTGTGGGAGAGGTGCACATAGAATTTTGGATTTTACCTACGTTGGTTTCTCTGTGGCTGATTTCTGGAGGTTGATAATAGATATGTAATGTCATCATTTTGCAAAGTAATAAAGGATGGACACATAACTACTGCCTTTTTCTAAGATATACACATTTCTAAAGCAGGTCCTTTTCAAACATTAATGTTAACAGTCCCACTGGGATGGATATAAACTAAACAAAGCGCTAAAATACTTTACTATCCTGAAGAAATCTTGCTCCTGGCTCACCAAAAGTCTAAGTTTGGCAATGTGATCTCTGGTGAAGGAAAGAATTAGTATTCAGTGGCTTTTCCTTACATTCAGTAATGAGTAGGATCAATTACCAAGGTTTTTGGTTTTGTAAGGAGGAGTAAGTATTTCAGTTTTACTTATGCAGCTTAGCAAGATTGTGGGTATAACTTTATGTTAATGTTTGAGTATAGGCCTACTTTAAGCCCATTGTTGTTGCAGACACCATCATCCTTTTAAGGTTGAATAACCATCCTGTATGGGAGAAGATATTGTGGACACAATATGTGTGTGTGTGTGTGTGTGTGTGTGTCTGTGTGTGTGGTGGGAGATCAATCTATGTTAGTAGATTATAGTAAAATTATATCAGACCCTAACAGGCAAAATATGTCAGTATCTCAACATAATCATGGCTATATGACAGAAATATGAGAAAATGTGTACATTATACATGCAGGAAAGATTTTGTGAAAATGAAATGTGAAATTCCAACATTACAGTTCTGTCAAATCCACATTTTGTCCCCCCATTGCTGTATATTTTTTTGTAATGAACAACTGGGAAACAGATACACATTTTAATATGTGAAATACAATGTTTTGAGAGTTTTTTTGTCCTTGGGAAGTCTATTTTAGTTTGTCCTTTTGGCACATCCTCTCCGGTGCTGTAAATATTTTGCAGTTTTTCATTAGACATTTGTCAGAATTGTCTCTGATGTGTATTATTCTCAAGGTGGTTGAATGACTTCTCTTTATACGATAGTAGTTTGAAAGGACAATAGTCCAAAACATTACTCATATGTAAAATAATATTACATCAGCAGCTGGCTGCCATTATTTTAACAGTACCGTTTATGTTAGTTTGACATACCAGCTGACATCGCTAGCCACAGAACAGGCAATTTTCTGTGATTCTGCTTTTTTATTGATGGTTACCAGAGTCAGTTTGGACATCACCTCCATCACTGGCACAACTGGCAGTGAAGGCCTGGAAGTTTGTGGCTCTCAGGGCAATTGAGAGACTTATGTCACCGCAGCTACAAAAGTAGCCAGCCAAAATTGAAAATTTGCTGTATGTTCAAGCAGGGTTGTCTCGTTGCTTCCTAGGTAAATAATTGTGAATTAGTGACATCTAATATTCTGCTATATAGGTGTCTAATGACAATACACTGCTGTAATGTTTGAGAAAGTGCATTGCTAAAGCAAGCACTATAGCCCCTCTGTTCCACCTCTTGTTTACAAAATTAACACAGGAGTGTCCTGTGTTTACCGCAGGAGTATTCCAGCTTGCCAGGTCTCCCCGACTAGACAAATGAACACCCCCAAGAATTGGAGGGGCAGGATCTATCTATACCAAGTGTGGCTCTCCATATTATGGTCATG